TCTTTTAATAAATTTCTTCATTTCAACTAGATTACAGGCGTTAGTTGTGTATTTATTTATTTTGCTTAAAATTAACAGTCACTTCTGACTATTTATAATTGTTATTTAAGTACTAAAACAATTATAATTTAAAGTTTTTGGTATTATTTATTGCCATATAAGGCCGAGACTCCACTACCATAAAAACCAGCAGGTTGTAAAAACAGCGTAAAAGCGAGTTGAACACCGCTCAACTTGCTTTTATGCTGGTTTTACGACCTGTTCAGGTGTAAAATATCAGGGTCATGTGATTAAAAGCTTTTACAGTGAGAGGTTTTACACTGTTTTTACGGTAGTGGAGTCTCAACCTAAGTCTTATTTAATTTTTTTAAAGCATATTTGCTTTTTTTATCATCTGTATAAAATATTGTAGGGTAAAAAATATAAATTTACAAGATGAAAAATTTATTTAAAAAATGAAAGATTTAACATTTTTTACATAAATTGAAATTAAAAAAAAAATTAAAATTAAAAAAAATTAAAAAATTACTAATGAAACTACTGATTGGTGATAGGCACAAATGGACAGTTAATAAATGCATTAAATGCATTTTATTCCAACAACTTTATTTAAAGAAATGAGTTATTATGGATAATGTATTACTATAGTGCATTACTGTAGTTTTACTGTAATTATAATTAGATATTCATTTATATCAGCTCAAATGGAAAAATTTAATATATATTGTAATAACTATTTAATGCATTCATAAATTTCTAAGGAAGAAAATTGTTGTTAAATATATCTAAAAATTTTGAAAAGCTTTGCAGTTTTGAATGTATAAATTAAGGTTTTTATTAAATTATGATTGAACAGATAAAAAAAAGAAATTTTAAATAGCTTGCTCAATGAATATAATGCTAACAATAGATAGGGAATGTCTACTGCACTGTGGCTATTAAAGCAATAAGCAAATAGATTTTTAGAATGCATTTTTATATTTATAACAGATATTTATTTTTGAAAAAAATTGACATATGAAGCACAATGTTTCTTGATTTATTTATAAAATTAGTATTATGTATCAATATTGATAAAATGAAATTGAAAAAACAGAGATATTGAATACAGGGATAAATCCGTCCAAGTCACTTTTTTAACATTTAATCACCATTGTTGTTGTTCTATTTTGTATGTATATTAAATTGAATGAATACATTTATGTATAATGTATGATACAATGAAATGTGTAAAAAGTTGTAACTATTGTAAATTGTATTTTATTGTATACTTATAAGTATAAATAAAATTTTACAGCACCTATTCAGATTTTCTCTTTGATTGTAAGTAAATTTTGTTAAATTCAAGTATTGCTACAATATCTAAATTAATGTTTCCATTGAGAAAGATTTCCAAAATAAGTTTCCATTGAGAAAGATTTGGTATGATGATTTGAACATTTGCATTGCAGAAGAATACTTCTAATAACATTTAGAATATACTGTATCTCTGAATGTACAGAGATATATGGAATGGTTATTTTAAGCACTACTGTAAAAGTAAAAAAAGTTATTTTTTTGTTAATTCAAAACATTTTCATATGTTACAAGAACAGGTATCGCAATTACTCATGTCAGGAAATCCAAGGAAAAGTATATTTGATAAAAAGACTAATTTTTAATGTTTTTGAATATTATTTCTTAAGTGTTCATATATAAGTTTGCAATTATAGTTTTTGAACTTATCCAAGAAAAATTCATTATAAGATTTTTCCCTTAAGTTATCGAAATTCCCCCCATTTTGTTTCAGTATCGTCAAGAATATTATATTAACTTTAGAAATATTCTGGATTTTCTAGAAGATAAACTTGAAAAGATGACTGGAGGGCTGCGCTGTTTAACGTGGCAGTCTACCCCGCTGATGGACCCAAAGTCGAATCTAGACGAGTCGAAAAATCCCAGGAATTTTTCGGGGTGGTCCGAATATGTCGATCCCCGTCAGTCACTACCCAATATAATGTATTTCATTTTATACTTTTATGTTTCTATTATATTTGTTACTTGTTATATTAATGTATTACATTTGTTGGTACCTGGAAGCAATAATGAAAAGTTTGCTTTATTTCCGTTATTAGAGAGATTGCGACCGACGTTTTCAACGCGAAAACGTGTACGTCGGACGTTCAGCGCCGCTTTCCTAAAGGCCTAGAAGTTTGACAATGGTGTTTGGAATGTCGAGCATGATTCCACTGACTATCCAAACATCATTGTCAAACTTCTAGACTTATAGGAAAGCGGCGCTGAACGTCCGACGTACACGTTTTCGCGTTAAAAACGTCGGCCGCAACCTCTCTATTTTTCCCGTTAATTTTTTTCATTTTAAATTTTCAATGTTGTATTTTGGAACATTCCAAAAGTTATGTAAACTTGAAGATTGCCTATAGAATATGTTGAAAACGTTAGTTTGTTTCGAAATAAATAATCTCAGCAAATTAAGGTGCTTTGTGAGGATTGTGTATTGATATGACAAATCTTCGATTTTTAAATTTTTTAAAAATTACAAATGTAGACTAAACTCAGCTAATTTGGACCACCATATTGTCTTTGAACCATTACTTCCAAGTAACTGCTGCAAGTGAACTAACATTGTGATTCAAGGTTCAAAAACTGATGTCCAATGATATTACAAGAGCATCTTTATTAATCTACATTAATTGCAGCATAAAAAGCGTAATGTCAAAAAATTTAAAAGTGAAGGTAATAGGAACATAATTCTCTGCACATAATTCATATTACAAGGATGCTTCTAGAAACAGAAAGTTACTATTTTGTACAAAATTCACACAGAAATGTGTCTTCCTTCCACACCAGCACGTATTTCAACGATGTGTCCAACGCTGACACTTCTGACACTGGATCCATTCCTCATCAGTTGGTAGTAGCAGAATAACTAGAGTTGCGCTGCTTTTTCTTTCTGGTTTTGGAAGAAATAATGAAAAAACAAAGGAATATCACAAGGATGTCTAGTAATGCGGACTACAGCAGCGCAACATTTGCTGATGTTACGGACCATGGCCCATATTACCTGCACTGGCATGCTATCCTAAAACCAATTCTTAGCACCAATCAAACAGCACGTACAACTTTGTCAGTGCGTGGATAATCAAGAACAATAGCACAACAAACTACCAAAAAATTACGATCTTTGGCAACTTATCCAGTTAGTAGTTAGGCCTACACGGAGTGCAGTATCAACGACCAACAAAAGTTGAATGACACGAAAAACGGAGTCTCTCATCCACGTTCTCATTGAATGGCAATCATTTTCAGCATACAAGGGTGTGGGATTAAAGTACTGTACATGTCACACTATTGCAGGGGTGGCCAACCTGCGGCTCGCGAGCCGCATGCGGCTCTTTGAAGGATTATTTGTGGCTCTCGATAAATGTACCCGAGTTCCCTTTTCACTTTTGTATTATTGTATTTTAAAAAATTATTATTGTTCCGTATGTGTTTCAAAATGTCTTTTAAATTACTAACAACAAATATGAAAGATTAAGTGCAACGTTGTAACAAATTTCATTTCCGTCCAAGTTAAGAATGATATGACTCATCGAAAACNAGTGCAAGGGTGCGCGAGTTTTTTCTATGGCGCTTTTCTCTCCTTGGTGAGTTGGTTTCTCTTCTATTTTTAAGTTTTTAAGGTAAATGGTGAGGAAACCTTCGTCCTAACAAAACACAAGCCCCAAACAAAATATAATAAGAAGTAAAATAAAAGTAAATAAAAATAATGCTCGGACTTGGTTCCTTACAATAATATTATAGTGCAAGGTGTTTTTGTTTTCATTAATTGATTATCAAATTTAGATTGTGTAACAAACTGACTTATATTGAAAAGGATAAAATACTTTTATCAAATATCTGTCAGTAATGTCATTATATTTCACTTTTTAGAAAGATTGTCATAACATACATATGTGAGAGTATTATTATGGTTTAGTACAAAGACAACTGAAGGTTGTTGATATTAAACCATGAAGGTCTTTGTATGTTGAATTATGTCTTCTGCTTTGACTTGTAATGAAGTTTGAATTATTTCTTTGTAGAAATATCAATTGTGGAAATTATCCACTGTAACATATTTAAGTTACAACAATTAAAATGGCAAAGCCATTTTTGGGACAAGACTATGTTTCGGAGAGCGGAAGCAATGCATTTGCAAATCTTGCACTCACGCCTGTTTGTAGAAATAGTCTCAGCATTTCATATTTTCTTTTCACCTGGTTCTTGGTCCTCTGACTACCTACAAGTCTGCTTTATTTTGTGTGTGCATGATTTGGGCACCAAATACTCTGTCAAATTGCACTCCTGACATGTACTCCTTCATACTCTAAGATGTGCAGCCATTGACAGCAGTGCAATTTTAGAGATGAGACATAGTCTCATCAATAAATATCTCAGTTATTTAAAAGCAAATCTATTACTGTTTATTAACAGAATGGAAAGTCACTATAAATACATAATAATGAAATAATAATAATCCTGAAAAGGCAATTGACTGTGTAATGGTCAATTAACAAGGGTATTTCATTTTCTAGCCATTATAATTTTCTGATTTGATCACTTTCAGTTTCTTACTGTGGAATTTGTTAATGATGATGATTACAATTGTATATTTTTTCTACAGCACTAAATAGTTTGAAGTATCACAATATGAAAAATGATTGTCAAGATTAATCATCACTTTTTACAGAATATTTAGCATAAACTTGAAACTTTGGTCCTTTATAAACAAAAATTTAAAATTTTTCTTCAAAATGATGCATATTTACTATGTTGTTCATACTTTTCAAAATAAGTTTTTATAACTACTCACATTTATAGTTGTATTTATACATAGCATTAAAAGGCTCAACTATTATTTCTTGAAGTTTCTTTTTCCTTGATTACATTTCACTTATAGAATATTTTCTGATTTATAATGAAATAAAATTTTTCTAATATTAAAAATTTAATTTCAGAATATGTAATCAAAGAGGAGAAGTTATTTCAGTAATTAATGAATTTTATGCTGGCACTTTTCTCTATTTATATAATAAATGGAAAGGAGAATACAAAACAATAATGGATTCAGGATTTGTTTTAAAAGGTTACTATGCTTTATGTAATTCATGAAATAGTTGAAATATATTTAATATAAATTTAAGTTTAATAATTTTTAATGATTAATAAATTCATCATCAAATACCACATAAACAATTTATGTATCTTGAAATCATCCATATAGATAGTTTAGGTTATTGTCATCATATGGCATGTGCTGAAATAGCTCATTTGCATAATTAATATTTGGATTAATCAATTAGGATGATATTTGGTGTAAATCATTAGAAGACAATGTTAAATAATTCTGTAAAATTTTTCCATGTACTCTAAATACAAGGCGTGTTTTTAAAGTAAGTACCGTTTTAATATAATGCCGCTGGAGCACTGCAGTCGCCACTTAGCGCATGCACGCTGTGTACCTACATCTGTTGGGAAGCCACAAACGCCATTACAGAGTCAGTCGACCGTGTTTACTGTTGTTTGTGTGTTATTGAAATGCTGCCGTTCATTGAGAATCCCGCCGACTGCGAAGGGCATGCCGTTATTCATTTTCTCAGTGCTAAAGGCTCGAAAGTGGCTGAAATTCATCGCCAAATCAGTGAAGTTTATGGTGAAAGCATTATGAGTGATGGAATGGTACAAAAATGGGTTAGGGCCTTTAGTAATGGCCACACAAACATTCACGATGAGGAACGAAGTGGGCGACCTTCAGTCATTATCGACGATTTGATTGAAAAAGTGGACTGTAGAGTGAGAGAGAACAGACGATTCATGATTTCATCTTTATCTAAAGAGTTTCCTGCAGTTTCAAGAAGTGTTCTTTATGAAATTGTGACCAAACGATTAAATTATCGGAAGTTGTGTTCCCGTTGGGTTCCGAAAATGTTGACGAAGGAGCACAAAGCCAAACGTTTGGCCAGTGCATTGACTTTTCTTGAACGCTACAGTGACGAGGGAGATGATTTTTTAAGCCGTATTGTGACAGGTGATGAAAGTTGGGTAGCCTACGTTACACCGGAATCGAAGCAACAATCCATGGAATGGCGACATTCATCTCCTACAAGGAAAGTCAAGTTCAAGCAAACAATTTCTGCTCAGAAAATCATGTGCACAATGTTTTGGGACAGATACAGAGTGTTGCTTGTTGATTTTTTGCCTCATGGTGAAACGATCAATTCAGCTGCATACCGTGAGACTGTAAAAAAACTGTGCCATGCAGTACAAAACAAAAGGCGGGCTTACTGAGCAAGGGTGTCGTTTTTCTCCACGATAATGCTTGTCCACATACGGCAAATCAAACTCAAGACCTAACCACATCATTTGGCTGGGAACAATTAGACCACCCTCCATACAGTCCCAACCTAGCACCAAGTAACTATCATTTGTTTCTGCATTTGAAGAAGCATCTGGCAGGGCAGCGCCATAACAATCACGACGAAGTCAAAATGACCGTTCTGCAGTGGTTGTCTCATCAGGCAGCAACATTCTTTGAGGATGGAATACAAAAGCTGGTCCCACGATANGGACAGTTGACATTGTGCTCTGGAGGAAACAATTTGTATCACTCTTGCTACGGATATAATTTGTAATCTGGAATTTTTTGCATACCTTTTTAATACGTATTTAATTGCGGCTCGCGAAAAATTTCAAATTTTGAAAAATGGCTCGGACTATCAAGAAGCTTGGCCACCCTGGCACTATTGCCACACATTACAGCATAATTTGAAAAACCTGCTTGGAAAAGGAATGCATCAAAAACATGCCCAACGAAATTTTTTTGCAAATAAAATTTTATTCATTTATTTACTAAATAATAATTTCTCATTTAGTTTGTTAAAGCTTTTGATTTTAAATTCAGTTAAAAGTATGAAATTACTTCTTTCGTTTTTTAAATATTGATTTGAAAGACTGCAGCTTTATTTTCTTTGGTGGTAATTTTTTTTCTTCTTTAAGAATAGGCGTTTCTTCGATTTCCTCTTCTACCATTTCTTCTTCTTCACATTCAAAATTTATAAATATATCATCATCGTCGGATTCCTTTTCATCTTCCCACGGATATACAGCGTTCATATCTAATCTTTTATTCGTCATAACAATAAATTTGTGTTCCTCATCATCTAAAAATAACCACGTTATTATTATTGAATCAAAAACCAGTTTAAAACTTAATTATTTGATATTAATGATTTTTTATATTAAATTATATAAAAAATCAAATTATTCTCCCGGGTCCCCTAGAGTGGTAGGCTGCCACCTTGATCGTTCGGCCATCCGGCCGTCTAATTATTTTATTAATAATAGTAACATACAAAGAACATATGCATTGGGAGGATTTTAACGCAAACAAAAATTTGTCATTTGTAGAAAAAGTACACTTCAATAATCAGTATAGCTTCCTTTGATCTTTAAAACCATCCTAATGCGATCAAGCATGGAATTAATAATAATCCTGCAATCGTATAATGTTGTTTTGTTTCACTTATCCTGCACAAATTCCCATAATCAGTGTATGCTTTCAGGTGGAGCTGCGTAGTCATACAAGCGACGTTTAAGAAGGGACGACATCTGTTCAATCGGGCTGAAACCAGGCGATTGGGGCGGCCACTCAAGCAGGCTAATATTTTGATCCTGAAACCATGACATTGCCCTTCTGGATGTATGTTTTAGATCATCATTTTGCTGATAAATGAAAGAGCTCCTATCAATGTGGTAATAATCAACAGATTGTAACAGATAATTGTCAAGTATCTCGGTGTAAATAATTCTAACAGTTCTATTAGGTATAGAACATAGCATTCCAGGCCCAAAATGGGCAATACAGCCCCGGACAAAAAGACTACCACCACCAAATTTCAATGACGTTCAGTTATAGACTTTGTCGATGTAGTCCATATCCATTTTCGCCCATATGAACTAACTATTAATTTTGGATTTATCTGACCATATAATCTTCTTCCAATCTTTAATAGCGTTTGGCAAAATTAAGACGTTTCAGTTTGTGTAATTTGATAAGTTTAGGCTTCGTGGACTTTCAAATTGTTACGTTTTAGGTATCCGAGGATAGTTGAAGTACTCACTTCTATTCCCAAGCCACGTTTCAGTTCCCTTTTTACTTGTGATGATATATTGCAACGTCCACTCGTTATCAAACGTACGCAGTGCCTTTCTGTTTTGGCGCTCAATGTTTTCTTCCTGCCAGCTCTTAAATTTTCGTGATGTGGTAGATCACTATTTTTATTCTAGTTACGCTCGAACGCCCAACATCAACTTCTAATGCTATTTTCTCAACAGAAAAACTTTTCTACAGTAGGTCCACAATACAGAGTTTCTTCTCACTGGAAAGTTATTTCGTAATGACGCATATCAAGCAGCAACTCATTTGCACATTTATACGCTAATATCTCGTTAATTTGCACGAAATTACATTGTTTAGTGTTGATGTTATAACAAATTAATTTACGCGTCAAAATACTTCCAATGTAACAATCAGAATTTATACACCATTGACATTTTAAAAAATATGAAAATATTTTAATTATGTGAAGATTGTAATAATCTTACAGCTGATTTATTTCTTGCATAACGTAAAAATTTTCCGGAATGATCCACTACTTCTCTCGTATTCGGATTATAAATAAAGCAAAGCAAATTACAACACGGTTTCATCAGAATCAAGGGAAACTGACCCTTATTTGGGTGTAGACTGGTGAAGAAAACACACAAAACTTCGTAGCCAGTTCTTGGTGAGGCGCAAACCTATGAGTAACTACCAATGTTCAGTGATGTTGTCCACTCGACTACTGGTGGGAGAGATAATTTAGCAAACATTATTTTATATTAAGAACTCTACATATAAAGAAATATGCTCTGGTCAGGAGTAATTAATGTCCAAATCTAATCCGGACACGTTATTTCATAAGGCCAATTCGATCAGGCATCATTTCTCATCCCCATTCTCTCCTTCAGCAAGATTAAAGAGCTGGCACAAAGAAAACGTTGAGCGCCAAAACAGAAAGGCACTGCGTATGTTTGATAACGAGTGGACGTTGCAATACATCATCACAAATAAGCTTCACCCCCATTCTGTCCTTCAGAATATAATTAAAACGTTTTTTAGGAAAAAATCAACTTGTCAATAAAAAAGAAACAGTTTAACAAAAGAATTAATTCGAGTATACTTCAAACTCGTCTATTTTAGTCCAACAATTCACTCGATCTTCGCTGGCCCTTCCTTTTCCGTTCATTTAATCTAACGGTTAGTCTGAAGGCTGGGACTTTTTACCCATTACAAAGCAACACTAATACAGATATTTGTCTCGTGAGAAATGAATTGAGAAAAGAAACTTTTTTTATGTACATTACATTCGTAAATGATTTTATATAATATAATGAATATCTAATATGAAAGTATATTTTAACGAAAGTCTGACAATTTATATAACTATAAAGGAATATCACGTTTAAATATCCGCGCCAAAACATGAGATAGGTTTATATACCTGCATAACGTAAAAATTTTCCGGAATGATCCACTACTTCTCTCGTATTTGGATTATAAATAAATTCTTCAGTGGGTATGCATCCTAATAACAAATCGACTCTATTTTCTTTGCGTTTTCTCAGATATGTTGTTTCTAATAAATTCAAGAAATCAGACTATTAAATTTTAATTATTAAATTTCCTTTGTATAAACCTACCTCCACGTTGCCATCCAAATAAAATTTCAGATTGAAATCTTCGATCTGGATATCTACAATAAGTCCAATCTTTTTCTTGATAAACAAGACCATCTCTGAACACATAACGACCCTAAAATTTGGAATTACTGTACTGTAGATTTGCTCGAGAATTTAAGAAAAGAATTATGAAATAAACAGACCGAAATATTTACTCCATTTTCCCAAATTCCTTCGTATACATCACCATCACTTAAAATCATTTTACCTTCTCCATGAAAAAGTCCATCTTTTATCTCTCCAACATACTTTGTTCCAGTTGAAAAGAAAAATGTTCCTTTTCCATGCATCCTAAAAAAAATAATACTAGTTATTGAATGCCTTAAAATAACATTAATTTAAGTTCAAAATTTTAAAATGGATTTAACTGTCCAAATTTGTAATCTCCAATATATTTGCTCGTTATGAACTGCATTTTAAATTTATATATGTTATAGTATATTCTATTTCAATTAATTGAACGGACGTTCTCTCAAGAAATTTAATTTCCATTCTTTTCTGAAACTAATTTTAAAAATTTTTATTTATAAATTGTTCTAAAGAACATTTTCATTATTTACGTAAAGTTTAGAATTGTGCACCAAATTAAAGACTTGCAAAATTTATAGGTAACTTCGTTATATTTAATTACATGTATCGGTACCTTAATTAAAATATTATCTAGGGTAAACGAAAATAGAACTTTAGTTACTTAGCACTACAGTACATAAAATTAAAAGAATAATACACTGTATATATTTTTAATTATATAATTTTCTTTGCTTGCCATTAATCTCTCCTTGTGAATGGGCTATTGCTAAATACAAGAAAGAGTGATTGATTGATTTGGGGATATTTTAAAAAATTTTTGACTTAGTCTTTGTGGGCACCGAGAGAGCCTTTTTCCATGTACTGTACATCAAGTTCGATCAAGCCCTAAGGAGCGACTGGATGGTGAGGCCATGAAATAATCAACAGGGACCTATGAAAAATTCCTGGGGTTTACTCGGTTTACTCGTTCAAATTGAATCCTGGACGTCCCAAAGCAGTAGTCTTAATTGCCTATACCATACGGCCATCTGAATGACATTTTGATTAATATTATTTTATAGAAAATTTAATCGAATTATTTTCCAATTAAATATACATCTGTTATATATTTAAAATACCTTTAAGGTATAGACTATTAAATTGATTTATCTCGTTCGAATTTTTAAAATATTATCTGAAATTATGTAATCAGAAATGATGAAATGAAAGAATTTTATAAACTAAATTGTAGAAAGTAATAGAAATAATAATATTTATCAAGTTTATAAGTATAACAAACAACATTTGGTGATGTTTTTATCAAATTTAGTTGAATATAGAAAATTCATGTCTTTTAATTATATATTGATACACCTGTATGAAAGTTTTCCTGTCTTTAAATACTTTTGAAATGTTTACATAGAATGCATAAGAATGTAAACAACACAATAAATTGATATACAGTATAACGGAAACACTGTGAATTATAAATTATGAATAAGAACACTTTAAAATATTCTAAATATGAAAACAACGACTTCAATACACAGCAATTTCCAACCTTCTTCGAGTACTTTAATAATAGGACGTTCATAACACAGTAGAATACACAGAGAACAAAGTTTTTTTTTTTTTTTTTAACAAGTCCCATTACGATTCGGTCAGGCCGGGTGGTGAAGAAGAGAGTCCAACATACTCGGAAAGACCATCCCCCCGAAAAATTTCTAGGGTTTTTCGACCCGAATATGTTCGGTACCCGGTTCCCGACAGCTGTAGGCTGCCATGTTAACCGGTCGGCCATTCGGCAGTCTAACAGAGACCGAGCTCTCATATTTGGAAACGTGGTGTCATCCATCCATTGTGGCACCACCGGAATTCGATCATATAATATTTACCTAATGTTTTGAACAAATTAATGTACTTTATCTACACTTTCCGAACTATTAAGTTTCATTGATTTAATTTTAATTTTAATTTTAATTTCGGTGTAAAATCAGAGTTTAAATTATTATTTTATTATTTTAAGTCTTAATTAACTGACTACCTAGTATTTATATACATTAAGTTAAATATTGATACTATAATATATACAATATTAATAAATTTTTGTTATTTAATTTGAGTTAAGCACCTTTAAACACGGATTTGTGGATGTCATTTATATTATGCGAATGTCAATTAACGCGGTTTTTATTAATTAATTTGATTTAAATTCTATTATTACGTTTACCGATAAATGGAAGTAGTATCTTACCCGTATGCGCATTGAAATCTAATTTGAATAACATTGATGGTTCATGTCATGACGTCTAATGACGTGAGGCGATCTCGGCGTCACTAACTTCTGAATTGGTAGTTTCGTCGTTGATTGGTTGGGTCGTCAACTTTCTTTACTATAGGAAGTATAGGGAGTTGATCGTCTGTGTCTCTCTATGGCTCTTGCCGAGTATCCCGTTCGGCAACCGGAACAAATATAGCGTTCAAAATTTTGTTCGTAAACCGAATTGTTTGAAAAGCGAGGTGTTCAAAACTCGAAGTTAGACTATTTCATTTATTGTAATTGTGATGTACTCCGATTGAAGCGCCACGAAAGTAGTTCACATAGAAGTCAATTTTATTGGCTGAAAGTTAACACGTGATTTCGAAAATTGTTATCAGTGCAAATCGTTTGTTATCGTTTTGTAGTAGAATAATTCCATATTTATCATATATTACATGGGACTCTATAAGTTTCAATGGTAGACGAAAATTGGTTTTCAGCACCCTCGTAGGTATCACGCGGAATTATTTTTTAATATTAAACATAATATTGTGTTTATAATACGTAAACAAATATGTAAGTTATTTCAAAAGTTCTTTATTAGAACTTCTATCAGGTTCTGCGTTGCTATGGTAATTGTATTGCTGATGTATAGGACGCTAATCCCGAAAACATTTCAATTTAAAATTTTTGACTTTTTGAAGAAGGTTTGAAATTATTGTTGTTGTTGAATCTGAAATATTTTTGATTAACAAGTTATATTAAAATTAATTTTTATGTAATTAGTTAGTAAGATTGAACTTTTTTCAGTGCAGTTTGTGAGGAGGTCATAGGCCTCTTTCTGCTCTAAAAGCGCTAAGAGGTCTAGGATGTTGTGAAGGACGAATGGATCCTCAATAAAGTGTTATTTTACACTTTAATCATTTTAAAATTCAATCGTCTAACTTCAATCATTTTATCAAAAGCTAGGTTAAAATTCATAAAAATTATTTTCCGCGGACTTGGTTCCTTGTTGAGGATGATCCATCTAGTCCAGTGTTTTTCAACGGGGGCGATATCGCCCCCATGTGGGCATTTTTCCATGTTGAGGGGGCGATATAGTAAAACATTATATTAAGAATAATTAGATATTTTATTCGATATATCGTACAATAATTAAAGAAATAACATTATACTAGTCACTAGTCTGTTCAATGCAGTACGAATTTGGCATTAGTCTTGGCCCTCTTGGCATCGGTATTTTGTAGTGAAGGGGGCGATACCACGTAACGGTTTTACTGAAGGGGCGGTACTACGTTGAAGGGAGACGATTCGTTAGAGGTTGAGAAACACTGATCTAGTCATTAGTGCGTCACCCGGAACTTTCGATAAATTTCAAGTATTGGACGCCAGATCCTTAACAACAAACTCCTGACTTCATGGAAAAACCCAAGAGGAACCCAAATAACAAGGGAGGGCGATGACAAATCCAGTCAGTCGTTCTTCAAAGTTCGCCTCCTCTGGAGTTTATAAGTGTGCTAAAATACTATGCATCCATCCACATCACCATACAGATATATTACACGCCCGAGTTCTTCGATTTACTCTCCACAAGTCGGATACCTCCCTCCGACGACGCTCCTCCGACGACCCGAACAGTCCGAATATCAAGAACCTTCCATCGAACACCCGAAGAATCCCGTCGGTGAGTCATCAAGTCATCAAAATCATCAATCCTCGACTTCTCTATAAGGTATTTAACCATACGCGAATATCCTGTAAACTCTCTTTCGCGACAGTAGATTCGATAACCTAAGTAATACATATCAATCCGAGATGTCTAGGATCGTATATCTTGTACTCCTTCCCGTTGAAATTAAATTGTTATTGTTTATTAATCTGGAATCCGAGTGAATCACTTCCTCGTTTCTCTCTCCTCATCTCCACTCCAAATCCAACCGCTTACCCGCGACCTCTCGCGTGGTGTAAGAACTATCCGTCGCGATTTCTGGTCCTGAGAGACTCGGTGATGTCACATCCTGATGCGGTGTCAAAGCGACACCGATCCTACGGTCACAATATGTTGTTTTTGTATAGTCACTAGTCCCATAAAATGAAAAGTAGTCTCTTATGAGGGCTCATATAATTTACGTATTTATATTATCTGTACTTACTTGTTAGCCTATTGTGCATGTTGTGTAATGGTCGTGTAACACAAATGAATAGATAGGAGATAGCAGATAGCAGATAGGATAGCTCCTAACCAACCAAAACTAACCTTGTTTTTTTTTGTTTACTTAAATGTCAGAAAGACATTCAGGACATCAAGTGTTAAAATAATATTCCGTTCAAGACTTCGAATTTCGTAGTACCAAGAACTGTTATAAGAAAAGACATACCGGTATACAGATTTTCCAAATTACCTCGAACACACAACATTCCGGATGCAAATCAACCGATAATGTTGAACTCCGATAAATGTTCACTCGAGCAAAACAATCTGTCAGAAGTGGGGTTCGAACCCACGCCCTCATACGAGGACCAGATCTTAAGTCTGGCGCCTTAGACCACTCGGCCATTCTGACACAACATAGCAATTTCCTGATCGACTTATTATCAAATAGAAAAGCAATCGTTATCAATCCTGTCTACGAGTTTCACATTTTCGTCGCAGTTATTTGCTTTCGGAGGAACTGCTATTATCGACTGTACTTTTCATGTTTCATTGCATGTTAATCGTCAATACCACGTAGTAACGAATCGTTCGGTTTCTCATCGAACGTGCATGAGTTTCATCCTGAGTTGAGAATTGCTAGGCCAACGGTTTATGAAAATAGTCTGCAATTTCCTTGCTCTTATAAAATTGTTTACAGAATCGAATTATCATTCCCCCTAGAATGTACAGTATTTAAAACACACAACTCGTTTTTCTCTACAGCTGAAATGATGAGCTATTACAAGCGTGCAGAAATAAAAATTAAAACTATTTCAACTACAATAATAATTTGGACTCGAATGACATGTAAAAAAATAAGAACCATTTTGCAATTATGGAGTGAGAATTTCAAAAGAATTCCAATGAGTGAAAAGTTGTCTGTTAATGAACAAATTATTTTATACAATACAATCTTCTTTTTCACTATTGGCCCTTTGACATTTGCAACAGCTGGTTGATCTTTGGTCACCCATAAACGCTTTAAAAAACGATTTGCAGATGAGATCGTAAGCTTTCGTTGCATTGTGGCCACTTTTGAAGTGATAGAGCAACAATATTGCGAATGTGTTATTTCGCGAGTTTCATATTGTCAGACATTATTGATGCGTCTATTTCCAACGAAATATGTGATGAAAAGCCCTTTGGTTACTTTTGAAAATTGAGATATTTTAAAAAATCTGTTACATTGCTTGAAGTAATATAACAAATCTTAGTTTCCGATTTATTGTAATTAACATACTAAATAATAGTTATATAAATGTATTCAATTGTTTAATTAATCATCTCGTAGAATCTATTTAGAGAGAAGCAATTTTGAGTGAATTAAATTGTTCATAGATAAATTAATATGAATATAAATATAAAATTAATTGTTGAATGTTTATGACCTCATTTGTGATATATTTATTTGAAAAATACAAAATTTACAAGGAAACATTTAGAACTATAAGACAAATTTATCTCGTTTTACATAAATTTATTTTATTGTAACCGGAAATGTCTGAAAAGTATCATCATATACAGTAAATAAAATGTTACAGAAAGTCATTATTATTATTAAAAATGCATAAGAATTATTCCAGATATGATTAATCCGAATTGTTTTCATTAAATTTGAGACGTTTTTGCTTTTTTTTTTTTTTAAATGAAATCTGTCATTGTAAATCTTTAAAAATTGGATTATTGTGAAATGAGTGATTTTAACCGAAGGTAATAAATTTATATTAAACATTTCATTAATAAATTACACACAATAATAAATATGTTAAAATATCCATTCACAAAAAATACATTGAATATATAAACAAATAAATTTCTGTTTATTAATAAATAAAAATAAATTTTTATTTTATTTTAAAATTTTAGACGTGTAAAAAGTCCTTTTTTCTTAAAATTCTGTATAACATTTTTTAAGACATATTTTTAATTTACATAACTGTGACTTAATTGCCATAATATAACAGTATATGTCGCAATGGAACCTAATACGGGAAGAATGAAACTTTTACTTACAACAAAACATTTCCAGACCGTTAAACCAATCGGTGAGCCATTAGTCAAAGCGATCATCAATTGTAATTGTTGAGATATATCTTTTTCGTAACTTCTTGAGATGTTATGTATGATACCAACCGACTTTGATGTTTCTTCCAAAACTTTTGCACTAACCATTGCCAATGTAAAGAATATAAACCAATAAAAGATAATATCTATTGCAAGATAAGCGACACTAGAAAAATCTTTGGAAAATATCTCAAAAATCAAACTTTGTATTTTGATACAGATGCTAACAAGTATGCTACTATACCAGAGAAACGCAGTGAAGCAAAATGAATCATCTATATTTTCTAATAATGTTGAAAGATGAACATAATGATGATAAGAAATATGAATTTGCATAGCAGTCACAGGCGAATTGGTTAATGTTTCGCTGATATAATAATTTAAACATTTAAATCGAAGATATACAGCATAACAAAGCAATACATAGAAAACTTTCAAGAAACACTCATTACTTATTAAAACGAAAATATAAGAAATCCAATCTCCCCATAAGATAAAGTATCCTAATTGCTGAGGTATACGTTCCCGTTGAATTCTATAAAAGAAAGCATCAAAATATTGCTGTAGTTCCCATTCATTACCGAACCACACTGCGATGCCAAACTGGATCAGTATCAATATCCAACTCAAAAATGTCAATATCTTCACCTGCCGAGCAAAGCCAGATAAAATTTTTTTATTATAGTACACATAAGCAATTTGTAGATCTCGTAGACAGTTAAATATTATTGGTGAATACACATAGTGAACACAAAATGCAATTGTAGTAGTTACTGTGCGTACAATATTGGAAATATTTTCAAATATAGAAAAATCTTCAGAGTAGTAAATTACTTGCACCAAACAATTAGCTATTGCATGAAAT